TTTTATTTTGTTTTTGGTTTTGGTTTTTTTTGAGACAGAGTCTCACTCTGTCACCCAGGCTGAAGTGCAGTGGCACAATCTTAGCTCACTGAAACCTCCACCTCCTGGGTTCGAGGAATTCTCCTGTCTCAGCCACCCTAGTAGCTGGGATTACAGGCGTGTGCCACCACACTTTTTGTATTTTTGGTAGAGACAAGGTTTCGCTACGTTGGCTAGGCTGGTCTCAAACTCCTGGCCTCAAGTGATCCGCCCAACCCAGCCTCCCAAAGTGCTAGGATTACAGGCATGAGCCACCACACTCAGCAATGTCATATTGTTATTGTCACATATGTATAAAAATATGTCTTGATAAAAAAAAAACAAGAAATTAGTAGCAGTTATTACCTACTGGGAGCAATGGAAATTAGGCAGGAGGAGGATAATGGTGGACGGAAGACTTCATAGTATACTGGTTTACACTTTTTCATATCCTAATGTAAATTAATTACATATATAAAACTTAAATAATTTTGTAAACAGTGACAGGCTGAGTGTGGTGGCTCGCACCTACAATCCCAGCACTTTGGGAGGCTGAGGTGGGAGGATTGCTTGGAGCCAAGAATTTGAGACCAGCCTGGACAACAGGGCTAGATCTAGTCTCTAAGTAAAAAAAAAAACAACCAAAACTTTATTTTATTTATTTTTTTTTTGAGATGGAGTCTTGCTTGCACTGTAGCCCAGTCTGGAGTCCAGTGGCGCAATCTCAGCTCACTGCAATCTCCATCTCTGGGTTCAAGCGATTCTCCTGCCTCAGCCTCCTGAGTAGCTGGGACTACAGGTGCACGCCACCACGCTCAGCTAATATTTTTCTATTTTTTAATAGAGATGGGGTTTCGTCATGTTGATCAGCCTGGTTTTGAACTCCTGACCTCAAGTGATCCTCCCCCCTCAGCCTCACAAAGTGCTAGGATTACAGACGTGAGCCACTGCACCCGCCCAAACAAAAACTTTTTAAGTGACAGATTAAGCAATTAGGTATGTATTTCCAATCTTCAAATATCAATATACATAGGAATTATATATATGAACATTTATAGCTGGAAAATACATATGTAGAGAGAGAGTTTTTTTTTAATGTAATGACTTCTGTTTTTGGCATCAAGGTACACAAATTAATGTGAAGGGCCTCCCATTTATGATAAAAACTTGGAAATGCTAGTTAGGAGTAATGAACATCCTTTTAGAATAACTGGGAAAGCAATAAAGTAAATTCCTTGATTCCCCTCAACCCCACCATACACACACACACACAAAGACAGAAAGAAGAAAATGAAGCAGAAAGAAAGAAAAAGTCAGAAAGCTAAGCATCAATGGAAGCTGGGGATGACCTGGGGCAGGTTTGTGAAAGTCTTGGTGACCAAGGTGTTTGAAGCTTTGGGGCCTGGTAAGGAGAAACAAGTATACATGTATCATGCATAAAGATAAGATTCCTGAAGAACTGTACTCTAAACGAAAGAACAGATTAGAACAAATGCACTTAGCATCACATGGAAATGATAGGGAAGTACATCTGTTTTGGAATGGGCTTTAGGTCTGAGAAACATTGGCCGGGAGATTTCACAAACATAGACCTGCTTTCATGAGGGTTTGAAGTTTAAATTTACTGACATGTGGTCCCAGAAACCCCCAACTGATTTAAGTTTAATTAAAAATGGACGTGGACTGGTAATACTCTCTGGGAAGCCTCATTTCCAATCCCTGATAGCCCCACAGATAAAGCCCCTTTTAAAATGACTTCACAATAATTACAAAACACATAAGGAAATAATCCACCATAAACAAACTCCTACCACTCTCACAGAAAATTTCAGAAAACAGAATTAACAGAAATTATCAAATAAGTATATTTAAAATGATTTACAAGAAACACTAAAAAAGAATAATGTAGTATCAAAAAGGGCAGATTTGAATAATTAGAACTTCAGAAATGACAAATATAGTCAATGAAATTAAAAACTCAATGTTATTTGAGTAGCAGACCAGACACAGCTAAAGAGAAAAACAGTGAAACCGAACATAGATATGAGGAAATTACCCCCAAGGTAAGCATAAAGAGAGAAGGAGGCAGAAAATATTTCCATAAGATTTTACCATTTGAAGTACTGACAAGTGTGGAAGTTGAGAGAAGAGACATCAGCCCATGATGACTTCCCAAACCTCTACCCAAATTTGTGTGCAATAGACAAGAGCTAGGTTAGACCACATATTAAGAAGACTGCTGGGTAAATGACACTGACAAAGCTACAACTCTTTGGACCACAAATAAGCCAATGTGACATTATTTTACTAGAAGCATGTATCTGAATATCATCTTTTAAACATAAAAACTTTTTAAAACAAAGGCATAACTTAGTTTAGTTTTAATTTCTACCCACTATATTATTTTTATATTTTTATTATATTTCTACCACTATATTATTTTAAACAAGTCATTTAACTACAGTTAACTGATCAAGGTTTGCTACTTTGAAAAGCAAAGTATGTCATGACCTAAATGAACTAAAATATAACAGTCTTAACATTAGCATGAAATAAAAAAAAACAATTTTTCTAAAACAATGAAAAATAAGAGCAGGAAAAATCTAAGTCAATGCAGACTTAGACTCTAGAGACTCCCCAAAGACCTATTCCTTTACCATCTCAAATAATTTACCACCTCAAATAACATTCAGAATGAACATCTATCTACACAGGTGGATGCAGAAAGAATGAGATCACGTGACCATCTAATTTATCTATAATTTAGGAGATAAAAAGCTCTATTTCTCCCAAATTACAAACCAATTGTTCAAGCGACATTTTAAAAGTAATCCTTATCTTCTCCAAGGATATATGAGCCACTAGCTGTACATTAAATCCTACATTATAGCATTCATTCCAGAAAACCGATATATTTCACTGATCTATTTTAATGCTTCTTATACAGTTTTACTTCTTTTCTTTGTTTTTCTTATGCATTTTTAATTGCTGTAACTTCATTACATGTTTTGCTATGGTTTTCTTTCCTTTTCTCTGACTTCATCTTTAAGTAAGCTTAGACATCTTGTCAAGTTTTTAAAAATATCCTATTTGAATTTAAAATGTTTATTCTGATCATAAAATAATAGAGTCTTAGACAGTAAGAAAGAAAACAATAAAACCTACCTTTAAAATCATTCAAAATATTCTGATAGAAATTATTTAAAATATCAAATAACTTACATTTGAACTTTCATCCTTCATTTGCAAAAACCGAAAAGAAAGATGCAAGTACACATTTATCAAGGAATTCTCATACCTTGCACTGTTCTACTTTATTTCCAGCTTCATCCATCTCTTCCTTTAGAGTATCTATTTTTGATGGAAGCCCCTGAAAGTTGGTTCCTGAGGATTTGTGAGCTTGGTTCCACCTGCAAAACAATGGGGTCGCCAGCATTTGAGAACCAGCTGTGTATACTCAACAGCTGGATGTAGGACCTAGTGGAGATAGATCCTTCCTCAAAACTGATTCTACCTGGAAGGGGTATCACTGCCCAGGATGCCAACTTCTCTTGAGCTTATCCTCTAAGAACAGAAGCAGGCAAAAGGAGACTTTAGCTTCCCACCACGACAGGAGTCTCGTAGTGCCAGGAGTAGTGGTTTGCTTTGAGCATAACCAACCACATCTTGTTGCACACAAACTCCACTACTGGAGAAAAATCCATGGAATCCCTTTCTTGTGGTGGCCAATCAAGGAATCCTTGCCACTGGAGGAGAGCAAGGTGGTCTCCTTGCTCTCTTGCTTTGAGCTGAAATGTTCCCTGTGCCACTGGGAATCCGCTCCTGCTTCTGAGAACTTCTCGTGGCTCTTTCTACTACCATACTATCATCTGCGACCTATGATTACTTTCAGCAAGTAAAAGCCAGAACTTCAATAGTGTAGCTATCAGGCTGGGTGCAGTGGCTCACGCCTGTAATCCCAACACTTCGGGAGGCTAAGGTGGGAGGATCACTTGAGCTGGATCAGTTTGAGACCAGACTGGACAACACAGCAAGACTCCATGTCCACAAACAACAATAACAATAATAATGTAGGCATCAATCAATAGCAATGAAAGCACTAAAAAGAAAAAAAAAAAGACACTATAGTAATAATAGGGGATAAGTGGGAAATAATCATATAAAACAATTTTTGATTTTCAAATGTGCTTTGATCCTCTGAAAATGGGTATGTCTGGTGTTGTGGAAAGCTCTATCACTTTAAATGTAAACACAGATGTTATAAAATGCAGCATGAAAACCCATGTTAGCTACTTACTAAACTTTCTAGACTGCTGCAGTGCCCCAAAATGCCATGTTCTGCCCACTTCGTGTTCCTGACGTGACACACTCCTCCACTGAAAGGCTTCGGCAAGCCCACCAAAGCAAAACTGGAGATGCTATGTTGTGAAAGGAGCATAGACTTCAGGGTCTCATATGTCCAAGTCTGGAGCTCAGCTTTACCTTAACTAATTATGTGACCTAGTTAGTGACTTAGCCTCTATGCATCTCAGTTGCCTCATCTACAAAACTCACAAACACTGTCTGCCTTGCGGAATTGTCATGAGGAGGAAAGGCGAGAAAAATGTGTGTGCACGCATATGATGTCTGGCATATAATGGATTTCTACTTAATTATTACCACCTTTTGTCCAGGGAAAAGCAAGAGGAATGAGAAAAAGTAGAAATGTTCAATTGTTTTAGCTTCTCCAACACCTACTGTGATTAAGTGAACAAGACCGTGAATGCAAGATCAAGAATCAGTATTAAAATCACCTATGGGATACACGCACTCGAGGTGCAAAATTCCTGTCAGATAAACATCTGTAATACTGCTCAACCAACTCTAGTGAGGGAGCATTTGCTGCCTTGTTTAATTAATCATTAGAACATTCTTCTGTCTCTTGAGCAAAAATGTATCGCAGGGTGACCTGCACTCCCAGCTACACAGGATTCCAATCACACGTACAGGCCAGGCATGGTGACTCACACCTGTAATCCCAACAGTGCGGGAGGTCAAGGAGAGAGGTTTACTTGCAGCCAGGAGTTTGAGACCAGCCTGGGCAACATACCGAGACTTCGTCTCTACTAAAAATAAAAAGCTGGGGCTGGGTGCAGTGGCTCACGCCTGTAATTCCAGCACTTTGGGAGGCCAAGGCAGACAGATCACCTGAGATCAGGAGTTCGAGACCAGCCTGGCCAACATGATGAAACCCTCTCTCTACTAAAAATACAAAAATTAGCCAGGTGTGGTGGCGCATGCCTGTAATCCCAGCTACTAAGGAGACTGAGGCAGGAGAATCGCTTGAACCCGGCATCTTGGTTGCAGTGAGCCAAGATTGTGCCACTGTACTCCAGCCTAGGTGACAGACAGAGACTCCATCTTAAAAAAAAAAAAAACAGTAGCTGGGTGTGGTGGTGTGCAGCTGCTCGAGAGGCTGAGGCAGGAGGATCCCCTGAGCCCAGGAGTTTGAGGCTGCAGTGAGCTATGATCACACCACTGCACTCCAGCCCAGGTGACAGAGAACATCACATGTACACATGACCAGGAGACAGTGGACTTTGCTGTCAGAATCCTAACACTGCAATTTATGCTCTTGAAGGCACAAAGCAAGTCATATAGATAATACATGCAGGTCCCTCCCTTATCTGCAAAACGAGTCTCCTCTCAAAAGTAGGGAATGTTACACTAACCTCTACCCTGTTCCCTCCAAGTCACATGGAAAGGCCTATGCATTTAGAGTCTAGCACAAAGTCTGGTGCACACTGAGCACCCAACTGATATCAGTTGAAAACACAGATGAACAAATGAACATGGATTGGTGGGAGAATCAAATGGGCCGACATACGATGAAAGTAGCTCGATCCCCGGCATGTGGCAAGTGTCAGGTAAGTCACTTGATAATTGCACTAGCAGAGTCTTCACCACGTGTGAATTCCTAAATACACCTTTTCTCATCTCAACATTTCTTAAATCAGAACTCATCTTCACAACTGACTTGTACATTTAATAAACTGGTGTTTACTTTCTCCAAATCACCTGATATTAAATCAGTGATGCACCTAATACTCAACCACTTCTTAGAAACAAGGAAATGCAGCCCTTTTATTACAGCCATAAATCTGTAATAGAAGCATCAGACACAGAAGAACTCAATAAATGATAGCTCTATCACCACACATCTGTCAAACAGAAATAATCATATCTGCTTCACAGGACTGCAATGAGGATGAAAAGAGCTGACAAAGCTGGGGTCAGCCAAGCCACCTGCTTTTGTAAATAAAGTTTTATTGTAACACAGCCATACCCATTCATGTATGCCTTGCTCATAGCTGCCCTTATGCTACAACAGCAGAGTTAAGCAGTTATAACAGGGAGCAACTGGGTTGCAGCACCAGAAAGATTTACTATCCAGCCTTTTACAGAAGAGGCTGTCAAACCTTGTGATAAAGCAGGAAATAGGACTGAGGCTAGTGGTGCCAGTTTCCCTATTCCCAACTGTCACATGCCTGAGAAGAAAGCCATGTAAGACAGTGACAGAAACTCCACTGAAGGCCAGGTATCAAGGCTCACGGCTGTAATCCCAGGGCTTTGGGAGGCCAAGGTGGGAGGATCACTTGAGGCCAGAAGTTCAAGACTAGCCTGGGCAACACAGCTAGACACCACTCCACAAAAAATTTTAAAAAGTAGCTGGGCGCTGTGGCATGTGCCTGTAGTCCCAGCTACTTGGGATGTCGTGGCAGGAGGATCACTTGAACCTGGGAGTTTGAGGCGGCAGTAAGCTATGATCGCACCAGTCTGGTGCAACAGAGCGAGACCTTGTCTCAAAAAAAAAAAAAAAAAAAGGAAAGAAAAAAGCCAAAAAACTCCATCAAGGACAGGGCAGAGGGAGCAGTCCTGCCCTGAATCATGACAGACTCCTCGCTGACATCAGTCCCCACATCAACAGCGTTGATTTGGCTACACTGGTTTACATGAGTTCCTGCCATGTGAGTGCCTCCTTTCTTGGTACTGAAGGTATTACAGGTACACAGGGTTTGTGACACAGCGGGACCCTCATGAGCTGTCAGGGCCACAGATGTGTTTATTCCTACACTCTTAAGAGTTGGGCTCTCAGAACTGCCACCGTTCCCTCTGCCGTTAAATATACTCACTTCATTTTCCTTAGATGATTTCCTTTCACTGCTCACTAAGAACAGGATGTTCTAAGGACAACCCCACTGCCACGCTTGGGAGAACGAGGCCTACAGGGAGTGCTGGCAGGCTGGCACCCAGTCTGGGGGTCAAATGCACGAATTGGTGACCACTTCTATTGTGGTCTTCCTTTCCCCGGTGGTGGGAATGGGACACGATGCTGCACTGCTGGCTCAAGCCGTGTGTTACCTGGCTCTGACGGAATCCCAGTCTAACACCAATTTTGCAAGCTGTTTCCTCTGTTTCTGGATGTTGGGAATCTCCACCTAAAAGGAAGAACACACCAAATGGGATGCACTTCAGGGCTTTTAGGTTAACCATTTTACAGGACAGTATTTACAAACGTTTTTTCTCTAAAGCAAAGGATTTTGTACCTTCGATTGACTCCCCTTATTTCCAAAAAGAAGTGTACGTTAAAGCCAGCAACGACTGTTAAAATTTTAACATTCACTGTCCAGCCCACACCACTCTTGGCTCTTCCGTGCTGCACGGTGAAGCACCCACCTCGGCTATGCCGTACAGAGGGTCCACGATCTCCTTCTCAACAAAGACTTCGTGCTGGGAGAGCTCAAGAGCCAGCTGATTCTCAGCATCTCCACACGTCTCCAGCATCTTCCTTTAAAAACAAGACACCCCAACAAAGAGCATGTGCTCATGAAATCAGGCACTGGATTACTGTGTGGATGCAGTGCTGCTTGCCATGTGACAGGAACGCATTAGGATGCTACCTAACACAGCCTTTAAAATATTATAAATTTAGGGTGTTGCCTAAAACATGAGTCCACAGATATGTGCTTTAAAATAAAAATGACTGTCTCAGGCATGCACTTTGTGTGTGGGGGTGGCAGAGGGATGTGTGAACAGTGAGATAACAAATTACTCAAGAATTAGATTCTCAAGTCAGGTGAAAACCAAGTGTTCACAAAATACTCTGAAAATCTTTTAAATTAGACATTAAGGTCATTACATGTTATCTTATGTCTCTGAGGCCGGCCTTGGCCAGGCTCCCTTTCTGCTATGCAGATGAGCTAGCCGGCTAATACTTAAGGGCCCTGTTACATGAATATCATGTTTCCTTGTAGTGTTCTTGCGAACATGCAGCTGATATCATACAAAGTACATGTGCAGTGATATAACTCCGCAGTCTCTATCCCTCCCTCCCTCTCCTTTCCTTCCTGTCTTCCCCTGCAAGTTCTCTGTGGGATTCTTTTGACACCAGAAATGTGGCACTGGTGTGGGGTGGCCATGGGGTCGTAGTCAGGAACATGCTTTCTGGTGCCAAGCTGCCCAAGTCTGAATACAGGCTTTGCTCTTCTCCCGCTGTGTAGTCTCAGGCAATTTCCCTGCCCTCTCTGTCAGTATCCTCGTCTGTAAAATGGGAGTGATGTTGTGTGTTAACATGGTTCTAAGTGCTGATATGACCTACCTCCTAGGTTGTTTTGAGGATTAAATGAGCTATTACTTGGAAAACACTTATAACCATGCTAGCACGCACTATCACTCTGGTGTGATGAGGATGGCCATAGAATGAGGAAGCACCAACAGGAAAAACTTCCAGGCTGGAGGGAAGGAGGATGCTGGCAGGTGGGCACAGGCCATGCTCCTCCCAGGGCCCCCAAACATGGCAGCAGACAGGAGAAAGAAATGGTGAAGAGTGGGAGGAAACTACTCTCCAAAGGACAGCGAGAGAACTGCACATGCTGAGAAACGGACTGAAAAGTCTGAAAGCCTCATCCCGCTGGGAAGCAGGGCTTACTTCACAGCCAGAGGGAGCACACAGGGCTAGAGGATACCAGCCTCACGGCAGGAGCAGACAGAAGGAAGGGTATACCTTCCCTCCTACAATAAAAACTGCTTTGTTCTTACTTATATTTTAAAATTATTTACAGAATACATGCCAATTGTAAAAAAAAAAATTCAATAATTCAGAACATACACTCTTTTTAGATAACTACCATGGATGTTTTGGTGACCACGTGTAAAGGATGTGACTCTAAGAACTGAAAGGGTCTGGTCTGAGTTTCTAAATCTGAGCTAACACCTGGAACACAGAAGGGACCAGGTTCTTTCTGTCCAAGATTAGGAGAATAGGCATTGATCCTATCAGTTGCTTTTTTGTTAATGGCCCTTTCTGCCATCCAACTCCAGCCTGACACCTACTAAAAGAAAGATTCTCCAGCAACCCAGCAGCCTTGACCCCACTTTCTCCCAAGGAGTCTGAGCCGGTCTCCTAGCAGATGAGCCATGCCATCAATGCTCACAGTTCCTCTCACAGGTCCTACACACACCACTTGGCTCAGCCACTTCTACCAACCTACATGGCGCTTGGCACTCTGAAGGCAGCAACTCTTACCCCAGGAGAGAGTCTTCCAGCTGAGTTGATGCTTCTTGCATATTCTGAGCGAGAGCTGTCAGAGGCAGTTTTTTCTGGAAGACAGAAGACAGTGTGTGTTTTTTCTCATTATTATTTGATACCCATTCTCAGAACATTCTTTTTCAGAAGATCATTCATTAATTTCTCCTTCCAGGCAAATTACACAGGTGGGAGACAGCCTGTCTGGGTTCAGGTTCTGGTCTCACAGGTATTAGTTGTATGATGATCTCTCTGTTTCAGTTTGGGGCTATCTGTTGACTAAAGAAAATATATCAAGTACCTAACACATTGTAAGTATTCAGTAAATGTTAGCTGTTATTATTATCGCTATTGCTGTTCTTCTGCTTATTATTATTTTTGTTTGCTTTTTTGAGACAGGGTCTCAGTCTGTCGCCCAGGCTGCAACGCAGTGGCATGATCCTCCACCTTCCAGGTTCAAGCAACTATCCTGCCTTAGCCACCGAAGTAGGTGGGATTACAGGCCTGCATCACCATGCCCAGCTAATTTTTGTATTTTTGGTAGAGATGGGGTATCTTGACCAGCTGATCTCGAACTCCTGAGCTCAAGCGATCTGCGTGCCTCAGCCTCCCAAAGTGTTGGGATTACAGGTGTGAACCACCACACCCAGCCTGTTTCTATTATTATTAATGAATCAAAGCACACTATGTTCAAGGCACTAGGGACATGAGAGAGAAATAGACCTTGTTCTCTAAATGGTTATCCTGATAGGTAAATACAATAAAGTGCTCAATTTCAAAAGCTTTTGCCACAACACTCATTCTTAAACTGGCTTTTTTTTTTTGAGGCAGAGTCTTGCTCTGTCACCCAGGATACAGCGTAGTGGGGCAATCTTGGCTCGTGGCAACCTCTGCCTCCCAGGTTCAAGTGATTCTCGTGCCTCAGCCTCCCATGCTGTGATTACAGGCGTGCACCACCACACCCAGCTAATTTTTGTACTTTTAGTAGAAACAGAGTTTTGCCATGTTGGCCAGGCTGGTCTCAAACTCTTCACCTCAAGTGATCTGTCCTCCTCGGCCTCCCAAAATGCTGGGATTGCAGGCGTGAACCACCGCACCCATTCTAAACTGGCTCTTAATTTGGCTATCATTCTAAAATGCAGCTTTACTTAAATACTAAAAACTTCTAGCTAAATATCCAAACAGTTTTTGAATACAAAGCCACTCATTTTCCTACGAGAGATTTGTTTTTCAGCTGGCAATGACCACAAAATCACTTGATCTAATGTTCTAATCGTACAGTCAAGGAACCCGAAGCCGAAGGAGGTTAAGTGGTCTGGCCAGGCACCCCAGAGAGAGGCAGGAGTCAGACCTGAGTGCTGATGGCCCCGGCCTCTGTTCAGTGTCTTCCCTACGGGTCAATGGCTTATCTCAGAAGAGGCCTGGCAAGTACAAGTGGGCTGGTTATAACGTCATAATCTGCTAACAAGAAATGCTTTCAATTCTGCAGCAACCCAAGTAATTTCACCTGCCCAGTAGAAAGGACATTCGTGTTAAAAACACAGGGTCCACCCCTGGCATGTCACCTGACTCTTCTGCCTCCAAAGGGCTCCATCTGATACAATCGCATATGTACTGGCTTGTACTGGACAGACTATCTCTGCAAGGCTATACAACAAGCTACTAAGAGCAGTGGTTCTGGAGGAGGGAACTGGGTGCCTGGGGAAATGGGCTGGGAGGCACTTCACTGTAAGTTCTTTTGTATATTCTGAATTTTGACCATATAAATGTAGAACCTATTCAAAACGGTAAACTGAAATTTAAAAACAAACAAAGGCATTTACCCATTTCCCCTCTCCCCAAATTATTGATTTTTTCATTTTAATTTTTTATAGAGACAAGGTCTCACCATGTTGCTCAGGCTGGTCTCAAACTCCTGGTCTCAAGCAATCCTCCCACCTCGGCTTCCCACAAAATTATTTTCAAATAAATAAATAATGGGCTCCATCTGTGCTACGAGGAGACTATTCCCAGCTGCCCCAGCTCTGGACAAGGAAGATATGAGAATAATAGGGGATAACTCCTACCTTCTGGTTATGCTGCCTTTCTAAAGGAAGTTAAATACCTACTAAAGATCAATGCAATAATTAAAACAAATATACTGTGCAACTCTGGAACTTTAGGAGTCTGTGGGAAAAAAATAATAGAGAAGTCTATTTTGACAAGTATCACTCAAGATGGCAGCTGTAAATAGTTTTGTGGTTTCCCCAACCTGACCCCAAAGCCACAACAATCTTGTTTCCTATGTACATAAACAAGGAAACTCTGCTTAACATATGGGTTCATTAATCAAGTATCAATACCGAACTCCTCCACAGGGAGGGCTCTGTGCTTCCTAGAGGTGAAGAGCTTTCTATCTTCAGGGATGAATTAATTAATTAATTAATTAATTATTGAGACAGGGTCTGGCACTGTTGCCCAGGCTGGAGGCCAGTGATGCGATCTCAGCTCACTGCAACCTCCACTTCTGGGACTCAAGTCATCCTCCCACCTCAGCCTCCTGAGTACCTGGGACTACAGGCATGTGCCATCATGTATGGCTAATTTTTTATTTTTTAGAGAGATGGGGTTGTGCCATGTTGCATAGGCTGGTATTGAACTCCTGAGCTCAAGCAATCCGCCTGCCTTGGCCTCCCAAAGTGCTGGGATTACAGGAGTGCAGCACCGTGCCTGTCCAGGGATGAATTTTAAAAGCTCTAAAGACTTAATTTGTAAAACGCATGCCAATCGCACAAAAAGAAATATTCTCTAATCTAATAGTCTACCCTATGTGACCCATGAGAGTTGTACCATGTCAATGGTGGCTGGACTGAGAAGGTCACCTGCCCCATGTCTCTTTCCTTCCATTCTTGCCTCTTCCCATGCAGGGAGCATGAGAGGTCTTTGGGAGGCTCCTCCTGTGTTTTCCAGAGCCCTGGAGACTGCTACAATTTTCTCCATATCAGTCTTCTCTCACCATTGTTGTGGTAACTCCTCTTCCCAAGTGCAAAGTGTAGGCATCCTCAGAACCTTGTCTTTGGTACTTTCATTTGACGTTGGAAAAGGAAAGCTAAAGCATTGTTTCAGAAATGAGGACCAAGCACTTTTGCCCCAGGGGCCTGGAATATTCCCACCACCTGCCACTAATTTCCCTCCTTTATAGGGCAGACACCACCTCCTCCAGGAAGCCTCACTTGACTACCTCCCTCTTCCTCTGGTACCCATCCTGGGCCCCCCATAACACCCTGTGCATGTTTTATTGAGTATCTTGTTTTATAGTGATCCATTTGTATGCATCTCCCCCACAAGACCATGAAAACTTACATTTCATTCATTTTATATCTCCAGCACTTGTACACAGTAGGTGATTGATAAATATTTGTTTCTACTGAATATATGTGACATTTGGACTGTGTCTCAAGGAAGACAACAGGAACTAGATAGAACTGTGAGGGACAGTGACATATTTGGGGACTGGTGAGTGTTATGTGGCTGACACAGAGTGTGAATGGGAGGAAGTAGGAGACAGTGAAGCTGATAAGGAGAAATGGAATCAGCTAAGAAAGGGCTTAAGCCATCTAAAGAGCGTGGACTTTATCCCAGGCAATGGGAACCAGCCAGCGTCCCTCAGAAGAGGCACTTCTAGCATTAAGATACTTCCTGTGTGGAACTATTTCACCAGGCATTACAAAACATTTAGCATCTTGGCCAGGCACGGAAGCTCACGCCTGTAATCCCAGCACTTTGGGAAGCTGAGGAGGAAGGATCACTTGAGGTCAGGAGTTGGAAACCAGCCTGGTTAACATGGTGAAATCCTGTCTCTACTAAAAATACAAAAATTAGCCAGGCTTGGTGGCATGCACCTATAGTCCCAGCCACTCAGGAGGCTGAGGCAGGAGAATCATTTGAACCGGGTGGTGGAGGTTGCAGTGAGCCGGAATCGCGCCACTGCACACCAGCCTGGGCGACAGAGCAAGATTCCGCCTCAAAAACAAACAAACAAAAAAAGTTCAGCATCCTGGTTCAGCCTCCAAACGTCAGTGGTGTCTGCCAGTCCCTTTGATGATCGAAACTGTCTCTACACATTTCCATATGCCCCCAGGGGTGTAATTCTGGTCCCTGTTAAGAACCACTAAGCCAAGATTCTTTTTTTTAGGCAGGAGGATGATAAGACTGATTTGTATTTCAGGAAATTGACTCTGGTGATTGGGTTGAAGACAGACTGGAAAGGAAATTATAGACAGGAAATGTAGCTCAGGAGGTGACTACAACAGCCCAGGTGAGAGGGAGTCAGGTCTTACATTAAGGCCAAGGTGGTAGAGATGGAGTGGAGGTGAGCCATTTAAAATATTCACAGAGAGAAATCAAAGGACTTGCTAATCAGGCAGTTATGGGGTTTGGAGGATAAAATAAAAGCGAGGCCCAGCACAGTAGCTCATGCCTGTAATCCCAACACTTTGGGAGGCCAAGGCGGGAGAATTGTTTGAGCCTAGGAATTCAAGACCAGCTTGGGCAACAGATAAGACCTCATCTCTACTATGAAAAAAACAAAAAAACAAAAAAACAAACACAATTAGCCAGGCTTAGTGGCACGAGCCTGTAGTCCCAGCTACTTAAAGGTTGAGGTGGGAGGATGGCTTGAGCCCAGGAGGTTGATGTTGCAGTGGGCCAGGATCATGCCACTACGCTCCAGCACGGACAACAGAGTGAGACCTTGTCTTGAAAAAAATAAAAATAAAAAAATAAAAAATAACAGGGAATATAAGAAAGCCCCCCAGTTTCCAGCCTGCATAAAAGGGTGGATGGAATTCAGAGAGTCAACACAGAAGAAAGAACTGATCATGCATGCTAGAATACAGACATCTAAGAGAGTAAGTTTTTTGCTTGGTTGAAAATGGCTTAGAAGTCACTGGCATAAACACATCAGTTAGAAGCCATAAGAACAGAGGAGGTGACCCAGAGAATATGACTTGGAGAATAAGGAAGAGAAGCAGAGAACCTAAGGAAACAATGTGAAAAGGGTGAGCAGAGCAGAAGAAGGCAAGACAAGGACAACGAGCTGCAGGAAGCAGAACCAGTAGGCCGGGTCTGGTTCTGAGGGACGGAGCTTTGCGGCAAGTGTGGAAGCATAGGTGTATGCAAACTTCCATTCCTGTGACAGACATGATTGCAGAATCCTCACTGTTGTGCAAGAGTGGAATACCCCTGCTGCCACGGTGCCCCATAAAAGTCTGTAGGAAACATAAAAGGGTCACACAGATCATCTGCATACTATTAACAGTGCTCACTTTCGAGACACCTGGTGACAATATAGCAAATCATAGCTTCCTTGTGTGTCACCGAAACTGTCACTTCAATGTTGCATGGGCTCTATCTAAGGTTTACTGCACGCTCACAAGCTGGGAACTTGTAAAAGCAAGGGATGGAACTCCCTCGTGAACAAAGGTTGCTGTGCTCCACTGGCTCTACCTAGGAACTGAATGCTCTGAACAAGTGGACCCTGAACAGACACTGGAGGGGTCTCCTAGAGTCCATCCCTCTTCCTCTCTATACTAGTATCCTGATTCTTCTCAGGGATCTACACTGGCCTTGATAAAGCCTATGAGCTGGAGGTAAGACCATAGCCCATGCTCTAGGCCTGGGCCCAACGACCTTAAACCAATCAGCACATCCCATCTCCTCACCCCCTCTCCATGGCAACTAGGGTGGAACAGAACAGTCAAAAATGGGGACTGCAACTCCATACAAATCAATGCAATGGAAAGCGCTTTCAATCTGCCAAGAGTTTGGAAAAAGCAGCTTTCTCACTCCATCAAGAAAAACTACTGGGGCCAGGTATGGGTGGCTCACGCCTGTAATTCCAGCACTTTGGAAGGCCGAGGTCGGAGGACTGCTTGAGGCCAGGAGTTCTACATCAGCCTGGGTAACAAAGCGAGATCCCAATCTCTACGAAAAAGTTCAAAAAATTAGCCAGGCATGGTGGTGTGTACTGTGGTCTCAGCTGCTTGGGAGACTGAAGCGGGAGGATCTCTTGAGCCCAGGAGTTTGAGGCTGCAGTGAGCTATAACTGTACTACCGCACTAGAGCCTGGGTCATGGAGTGAGACCCCATCAGGAAAGAAAAGAGGAGAAGGGAAGGGAAAGGGGAAAGGGGAAGGGAAGCAAAAAGAAAAGATAAGAAAAAAAGAAAGAAAAAGAGGCAGGAGGGGAGAGGAGGGGAACTACTGGGAAAGAGGCTCTCCCACTGGCCACACTCAAGGAACAAGTAGCCATAGCAGCTGCCAGTAGCCAACTTGCCATCATGAGGGTGCCTGTTCAGGGACAAAGCAGACCTGAGGGCAGAGGAGAGAGGAGGAAGGAAACTGGGTTTTTCATCACATTACTGAAATGTTACATGAAGCCTGACCTCAAGTCCATCCCAACCTCTGGACTTTTCAGTTAGCAAACCAATACATTACTTCTACTCCAACGTCAATTTAAGACAGGCTTTCCGCTTTCTGTCAGCAGAAGATGCATAACCGACACAGCCATTCTCTTATCAATGACACATGATTGCGGAGCCTTCAAAAGCACCTGGAGAAGATTCCGTGTAAGGAGTGCTTCCAGCCCAGCGATGTCTTAAACACAAAAGAATGCTACGGTCATGCAGCCGTCACGAGCGTGCTTGGTGATAGAAGTCACCAAAGGCCAATCCACTGATGCCACTTAGGACAACCAACTAATCCCGGGGTTGAAAAGCCTCAGAGAGACGCAGGAACTCTGGGTCTGAGTCACATCTGATACTCACGTGTCTCTTCTCGGCATCGGTGCCATGCTGGCCCTGGAAACATGCCACCAAGCGCTTATGGGAATGGTGGCATACTGACCGCACCGTGTCCAGGCGTCGCTCAATCTGACAAGGCAGAGACAAAACAGAACAAATTCATCCTCTTCCTTTTGTGGTGTCTGCATGCTGGTAGGAAAAGCACGGCTGAATCTATGTGCAGGGAAAAGGGATGATCTTGGCTGCACCTTGCTGTCGCACTGAGTGGTGCCAGTCAGCTTACACACTACAGCACCAGAAAAGCACCAGGTCAGACCAGGCAGAGATGCGAATGAATGATCCAGGCCCAGACCCACTGACAAGTGGAAAAAAACACAGGGATGCCAAAGAGCTCTCTCCAGCTCATGGCAACAGAGCCTTCCACACAATGTACATCAGACAGAAGAAGCAAAATAAATGTTCCACAATTTAACTGTAAGATCTGTGTTTTCAAAATTTTTCCTTATTGGGTTTGGGTGGGTGTGTGTGTGCGTGTGCGTGTGCATGCGTGTGTGTGTGTGTGTTTTAAATAAACCTCTAAAGCAGAATGGGCAGTCAGCTTAGGGAACCCACGCATCATAAGCAGCTTCCCAAAATACTATTGCTAGAATATGGCTGTTTATGGCCAAGAGAGCTGCTTTTTACAGGAAGGAATGCCAAAAATGTGTATTCTGATGACTCATGAAGAATGAGAGCAGGCCCTTTGGGAGGCTTTCTATTTTAAAGATAAATCAACAAATTCAAAACAGAACATATTTTGACCCCAAACCATTTTACGCACTGAGATGGCTTGTGCCTCTTTCTCAAAAGAGCAGCGTTTCTTCAGATCCAAGCCCATAGCCCAGGACTCAGGGTTGGTGGGCAAGGGGACATTTAGGAGCAGATTCCACATTACCTTCCCCAAATCTTGCAATGGTCAGATTTTCAAACATTAGAAAACTAATGCACATTCACTTGCCACCAGAGAAAAGCAAAATGAACAAAGCAAAAAATGAGCAAAGTAATTCCGTAATTTAATTTCGATTCCAATTTCCACTAGAATGTAAACTCCACGAGGACAGAAGCCTTGATCTGTTTTGTTCATTGATTTCTCCCAGTGCCTTATCTTTCACAGAAACAGAAGGTGCTCATTTAATATCTGTTGAGAAGACCCATGTCTATTGAGTCCCTATGCAAGGTATTCAAGAAACAACAGCAAATAAATGCTGGTTCCGCCCTGCTGGGACGCACAGCCCCCTGGGGAAATGCCACACAACTGCTCTAACAGAGATGGGAAAAAAGAGGCAGGAGAACACAGGGCAAATCAAGGGATGTTTCATGTCAGAAACAGTGTCTGTGGCTTGCACTGGTGGTAATAACAACAACAGATCACTAATACCTAGCACTTACCACATGCCAGGCTCCGTTCCCAGTGCTGTTCCTGCTTAACTCATTAAACCCTCCTAACAACCTGTGAGGTGGATACAGCCTTTCCCTCAGTTTAGAGAAGTGGAAACTGAGGCACAGGAAAGTTCAGTAAATCCCTGAAGCCACAAAGCTAACCAGGGGCAGACCTGAGACTCAAACCCAGGTAGCTGGGTTTCAGATCCCCTTTTCATCATCATGCAACCAAACTGATTTTCTTTCCTGCTCAAAATCACACTAATTAATTTTATTCTGCTTCTGGTTAAAAAAAAAAAAAAAAAAAGCCCACAAGCCTCAATTCTCACACAGGAATTTTTTTCCATTCTTTAAACAGATCATTTAAAGGAGACTATATTTTGTTACCTGTAATAGATCTTCACTGAGGACTTCTGTTTTCTCAGCTCTGTGGGAAAAATTAAAAGTTCAGAGTCAGAAATCCAAAAATGAAAGGCAACTCCTAAAATGTCTTAATTATTAGCCTGGAGTTTAAAGCAAAACAGGCAGAAATGAATTTAGAAGGGTTGGCGGGGGCATTTTACCCATTTTTACATCAGACAGCAATTTAAGCAAAACCAAAGAAAAATAACTAAACAAACTTTGTGGGGAACAGCAGCCCAAAATAAGAACAAACGATCCTGAATAGTGCTTCCCCAACTTGAGCAGGTACAGAATCACCAAACACAGGAGGCGCTGACATAAAATGCCATTTCCCAGGTCCCTCTGGAGATTCTATTCTGATTCAATAGACCCTGCATTTTTAACAGCCAATCCTTGCTCAGAATTCCAGCGCAGGAGGTCTCTAGACAAGGCTTTGAGAAAACACTGTCCTACAGAAGCTTAAACTTCAGTTCACAACCAGAAATGTTACGCAAAGATACAAGTCTAGACCATCACACACAGTAACAATTAGTTCCTCCTTCAAATTCCCTCTCTATCCTTACTTTTAAAAGAAACAAAGTATTTCCACAACTTTCTCTGTTATGCTTTGAACTACTACTAATTTCATCGACCATTCCATTAAACCAACACGGTGGCCAGCAATCAGAAGAGGCATTCCAAGCTGGTGGAGTCTCAATTGTCAGACCATAATAATTTTTATTTTTATGTTATTATTATTATTTTTTGAGACAGTCTCACTCTGTTGCCCAGACTGGACTGCAGTGGTGTGATCTCGGCTCACTGCAACCTCCACCTCCCAGATTCAAGCGATTCTCGTGCCTCGGCCTCCCAAGTAGCTGGAGTTACAGGCGCATACCACTTTGCCCAGCTAATTTTTGTATTTTTAGAAGAGACGTGGTTTCGCCATGTTGGCCAGGCTGGTCCTGAACTCCTGACCTCAAGTAATCTGCCCGCCTTGGCTTCCCAAAGTGCTGAGATTACATGTGTCAACCACGGCGCCTGGCATGGAGGAAATTTTTAAAAGAGAAAGAAAAAGTATGTTTCAGTTCTGAACAGTGAAGGGAGTCAGGGGAAGGCTCTCAATGAACCGGAAATTCAGAATGGGGGTTGCATATCTTGGCCAGGAACCAATGCAAGAGAAGGAAAAGCTCTTTGAGCCAGAAAGTAAAGGAGACCCCTACAATGACCTCGAAACGCTGCTAAGCTCAGAGCAGTGCCAACTGTGGGCTAGGGAACGTAGTGCGCTGCTCCTCCAGTCTCCACTTAGGGCAACGGCACGTTAGTCAGAACGGGGCATTGCCACGGGGGATTCTAACATTTGTCATCATGGCACTGTCCCAATTAACCTGGAGATGCCTATAGGGTGGCTGGCTCACTCACCAGTTTCTGCAGGAAACTGGAATTCTGACCTGACTCAAATACCTCTCAGGGCCAGAGGATCAGGGCCTGGACACAAAGTCAAGGCCCCAGCTTCCAGACGCAGTCAATTCTCAACTCTATGAAAAGGTTCCACCAGCAGCAAGCCAACATATGCCACCCTAGACCTTGCTTGGCATGCACAGTGCCAGACATTGCTGAAGAGCCAAACACGGGTAGTCATACCAGTTAGGGAAGGGAAGCAGGGCCCCAGCTGACCATGAGGTCAAAGAACCAGACTCAAAAAGAAACCTGACAGTCAGCCTAGCAAGAACACACCTGGCATGAGATCGTTAGAGCTTCACCATCAGACGCCCCCATTCCTCTTGCCAATGCCTCATCCCTCCTTTAGCAGAATGCCACCAGGGATTGGGTAACTTTTGCCTTTCTTCCCTAGCCAAAACCCCCAAATCTGGACAGGGCCCTGTACATCTCTGACAGAATCCACCTCAACTCTAAAATGACTTCCTTCTGTAAGTACGAGTATACACAGAAAAGTCTCAAGGCCTACTAAAATTTTCACAAGTTCAAAAGAAGAGATTCGACCTGAGAATCAGAATAAATATGTCCTTTTTCAGAGCAGATTATTTTTTAAAAAATAACACAAGAAGAGAAGAACTTGCTCTACAATCCCAATGCGGGTTATAAGCAGATGTGGGAGAGTTAGTAATAGCTCAGGGGTATGCTAGAGCCAGTTCAGAACAACCAACCATGTGCATCTTTTCCCAACTCCTTGCTCAGTAACCTCACACTGGTACTTGAAATTAAAAACATAAGCAACCACAAACAATTCAAATAGGAGCTTGGCAGTTATTAAACTGTTATGAACACAGTGCTGCAACAGCCACAAAGAAAATAAAGCAAACATAAAAATGAGGCAAGTATTAACTTCAGGAAAAACAGAAAGTCTACTAGAAACAGAAAGATAGTCATAGTACTAGTAGGCTCAGCTGCAAATACTTGATTGGACATAGTATAAACATCAAATAGTAATATAATGAAAAATTATAACCGTATTGGAAGGATGGGGGAGCAGATGCAGAGGGAAAGGGCCGTAAACCCTCATTTATCAGAACAGAAAGTCAACAGACAATACCTAATTTGAAAACCCAGAGGACCGTTTACACGTATTACTTATAATTATGAATATGAACAAATGTCACAATAAACTGTTAATAATTAAAAGTAGTTGCTTCTGGAGTTGGGAAATCTCAGAGAGTAGGGAGTGAACCCACCATATTTTGTGATAAGTCTTTTACTATACTATTTGACTTTTCAAACTACATGAATACAGTTTTGAGGTTTTTTAAAAATAGCATGTTACTTACATTTTTAAGTAGCATGTTTGATATGGCCAGGGGTGAAGTGTGCCTAACTTAAAGAATTGGTCCAATGTCAAGCTCTACAAATGCACAACTGAAAACATACCTCAGAGTATCCAAAACGTAAAGAATATCAGTATATTTCCAG